TTCCTCCTCCTTCTCATTCCTCGTCCTCCTCCTCCTCCTCCTCTCCGCCTTCTCCTCTTCCCCCTCCTCCTTCTCCGCTCTCCTCCTCCTCCTCCTCCTCCTCCTCCTCCAGCCCCCTTCCTCCTCCTCCTTCTCCTTCTCCTCTTCCTCCTCCTCCTCCTCCTTCTCCTCCTCAGTATCCTTTTTTCTCATCATTATGATTTGTAGCAGCATCAGTACCATTATTGTCATCAGCAGCATAATTGCCATTCTCATCACCATTCGCACTATCAACAGTGTCATCTGTATTATCATCAGCATCGTGACTAGTATCACCATCATCATCAGCAGCATCCTCATCACCACCATCATCAGAAACATCATCATCATCATCATCACCATCATCAGCATCAGCATCGGCATCATCATCACCATCTTCACCAACAACAGCATCAACATCAACATCAGCACCATCACTACCATCAATAACAACATCATCTCAATCAGCATCAGCAGCATCAGCATTGCCATCACCATTATCAACTCCAGTATCCGCACCATCGTCATCACCATCAGCAACATCAACAACATCATCATCATCATCATCATCATCATCATCATCATCATCATCATCATCATCATCATCATCATCATCATCATCATCATCATCATCATCATCCGACTCAGGTATCCCCTCCTCCACTTTAGGCAACAAGGGTAACAGGGACGAGGCGCAGGAGGCTGCTCCTCCCCCTCCTCTGTACTCCTCCTCCTCCTCCTTCTCCTCCTCCTCCTCCACCATCCTCCTCCTTTTGCCCCTCCCCCTCCTCCTCCTGAGGCAGGCAAAATGGCACCATGGGAGTTTGTCATGAGCAACCGATGGGCTGACTACTTTGCCAAGCAAGGTGCACTTGTCCATGCCCAGCCTGAGACGATTGTCAAGCACTTCGAGGCAAGAATGCAGGATTGTCGGATGCAGGCGCGATTATTTGCTTGGGCTGCGGCCAAGATAGCGGCTCGTGATCAGATCAGTGACCGACCAGAGCAGCTCCTGAAGGCCCATCGTTATGTAGTGCCCGGTTTAGGCCTCACTGCACACAAGATGGCGGTTAGCCCCCCTCAGGTTTTCCAGTGTAGAGGTTGTCTTGCAGTTGCCCGAACGCAGGCCAGTCTTGGGAAGCTCCTCGGGACCCTACGTGAGCCCACGGCCCAAGAGAGGCTGAAGGCCACCGCCGACCTGGAGCTCCAGAGGGCTCCACTCTGGAGGTCCCAGGCTGTCAGCCTTGCCCTCCAAGGGGCGGCGGAGTTTGTAGGCGATGATTTGCCACCGGATGCTCCGCCGAATGTGGATCCAGCGCCTGGGGCAGACGACATCGTCGAGCTCCGTGGGCACCGTGCGTTGGTGCTGCCGTGGGCGATGGTGTGCACGTTTTGCGGCTCATAGCAAGTGTCCAGTGGCAAAGTTGCGCACTGCAAGCTGCATGAGCAATGCGTAGGGGCGGCGCAGCACGGCCCGTCCCGATACAAGCAGACCTATGTGATATCTGCTATCACGGCTGGTCGCCACCCTAAGACGGGCAAGTCTATACGGCCTGCCTGATTTTACTATGCTGGGCCCGTGTTCCCGTCCTCCGTTGCACGAGTAGGCTTGGCGCTGGTCCTCCTCCTCCTCCTCCTTCTCCTCCTCCACCTCCTCCTCCTCCTCTTTTTCCTCCTTCTCCTCCTCCTCCTCCTTCTCCGCCTCCTCCTCGTTCTCCCCCTCCTCCCTCTCCATCTTCTCCTCCTCCTCTTCCTCCTCCTCCTCCTCCTCCTCCGCCTCCTTCTCCTCCTCGTCCTCCTCCTCCTCCTCTCCTCCTCTTCCTCCTCCCCCTTCTCCTTCTCCTCTCCTCCCCCCTCCTCCTCCTCCTCCTCCTCCTCCTTTTCCTCCTTTTCCTTCTCCTCCTCCTCCTCCTCGTCCTCTCTCTCCTCCATTATCCTCCCCCTCCTTCTCCTCCTCCTCCTCTTCCTCCTACTCCTTCCCCTCCTCCTCCTCCTCCTCCTCGCCCTTCTTCTTCTCGTTCTCCTCGTCCCCCTCCTCCTCCTATCTTCCCTCTCTTCCTCCTCCTCCTCCTTCTCCTCCTCTTCTTCCTCCTCCTCCTCAGCATCATCCTTCCCCTTCTCCTCCTCCTCCTTCTCCTCCTTCTTCTCGTCCTCCTCCTCCTCCTCCTCTTTTTCTCCTCCTCTTCCTCCTCCTCCTCCTCCTCCTCCTTCTCCCCTCTCCGCCGCTCCCCAGTGGGGATAGCTCGGTATCGAAAAGGTTTCCTTCCGCGGTCCGACTGGAAGGGTGGGGGATCATTTGTTGGGTCTCCCAGTTTTTTGCCAATGGAGGGGGCAAGGGCGGAGGCGACGCATGTCTGTCTGTTTTGGAGCGCGCGGTGCTCTGATAGCCTGCAGCGCCCTGCCCAGCTCAAAGGACGACGTGGTCGTCATGGAGGGGAGCCGACCCGGCACCCGCGACATGGGGGTGGTGCTGAAGGCGCTCGCGCAACGCGTGTCGACGCTTGCTGCCTGGAGCCCCGCGTCTCCTGTTTCCCGACCCGCGCAGGTCGTGAGACGGTCAGGCGGTCGTCAGACGAGAGGTGATCCTGGCCCAGGGAGTGCCCATGACTGCCATGGAGACTCTCGCGGTCCCGCGTGGCCCCAGGCGCGGCCCAGAGGGGGCGCCAGAGGCTCAGGACGGCCTGGAAGCTGGGGCGCACCATGGGCCAGGGACACTTCCCAGACCTCCTCCTCCTCCTCCTCCTCCTCCTCCTCCTCCTCCTCCTCCTCCTCCTCCTCCTCTCCCTGCTCCTCCTCTACCTTCTCCTCCTCCTCCTCCTCCTCCTCCTCCTGCGCCTGCTCCTGGGTGGGACCTCAGGGCTTTCGGCCCATTCCCCAGGGTAGTTTGGCGGTTGTTTTAGTACCCCTCAGCTGTGCCTGCACTCAAGGGTTCCCGCTTTGGGCTACTGAGGAATTGGGTGGATATGCCGAGAATGCGCCGCGTGGCCGCCCGTTGCCGCCCGCGGGGGTATCCCCAGGATTCGCCACGTTGCCGCCCGTTGCCGCCTGCGGTCGTATGCCGAGGATTCGCCACGTTGCCTCCACGTTGCCGCCCCGTTGCCGTGTCATTGCGGCTTCCTGCGCTGCGTGGGTATGCCGAAGATTCGCCAAGTTGTCGCCCGTTGCCGCCGCGTTGCCGCGCCGCTGTCTCCTGCTGCGCTGTGCGTATGCCGAGGATTCGCCGCATGGCCGCCTGTGGGCGCCCCGTTGCCGCGTCAGTGCTGCTTCGTGCGCTGCGTGGGTGTGCGGAAGATTCGCCACGTTGCCACTCACGTTCGCCAACTGGTGCAACGGCCGTGCCTCCTTGCAAGAACGCCCCGTGCTCGACTGCTGCGTCGCGTGTGCCGAGCCCCCTGATCGGGAGCAGTGGCCGCCTAACTCCCTTGATATGGAGCTCTGGCAAGCCACCTCCCTCGAGGGGGTGCTCTGGCAGGCTTTGCTTCTGAAACGATCCTCTGGCAATACAGGCTTCCTGCTAGGATCTGTTGGGCGCCCGAGTTATCCGGGGTAGCTCGGGCTTGGGGTCACTCGGGCTTGGATTCCCGAAAAACGAACCCAAGTTTGCCCTGACCCGAATTGCCCTGATGATTTTGGGCTCTGGACACCCGAAGTATCTGGGGTAGCTCGGGCCCAGGGTAACTCGGGGTCGGATTCCCGAAAAACGAGCCCGAGCTAGCCCTGACCCGAGTTACAGTCAACGCGCCTAGAATGACGCGTGCCTTCATCTAGGGTGCCCTTGAGTCCTTGCCTCTGCGGCCCGTCCTTCGCCGTTTTCACTGGCCGCCCCCCGCCCCAAGAATCCAACTTCGGCCTCCAAGGGTCTTGCGTCCTTGCCACCCGTCCTCAAAAAACGTTTTGACTGTACCCCATGCCGATTCGGGGCTCCGGATCTGCGCCGCATTGCTCCCTGACAGGCGCGGCGCCCGCTTCACTAAACCAGGTTTGCCGTAACTTGTGTTTTTCGGGTGACGGCAGCTCCGGTTAGTGGAAATGGGACGGGGGGGCGCCCCCGGTACGAATCACTAAACCAGGTTCCACTAAACCCAGTTCTGCCAATGCCCGATCTGTATCTGCGCCGCGGTGCTCCCCGACGGGCGCGGCGCCCGGGGCTCCCCCCGGCACGAGCTTGGCGCCCGAGTGCTCCGTGGGCGGGAGCGGCGCGCAGGCCTCCCCTGCAGGAGGTCCTGGAGCGCCCAAAGCGCTCCCGGACGGGCACGGTGGCTCGACGCTTCGTGACAGGAGCCGCACTTTACCAGCCTGGAACATATCCCCATCCCTATGCTGGGCATCTCCTCGTCACGATGCCAATCTTAGGGGTTCCCTTGTTTTTTGAGGGCGGCTCCCTGAGATTGTCATCGCCTTTTGGCGTGTCAATCTCAGGGATAGGGATCAGTTCGAGGCTGGTAAGCACTGGAGCTCTCCCTGCAGTCGAGCATCTGATGAAGCAGCCTCCTCCCGAAGAGCGGGGCCAGCTTTCCTGAACCAGCCTGCCGGAAAGCTGGCCCCATTCCTCGAGCACGTTCGCCCCTCCAGCGTCAACGTCATAAAGTGGGCCAGGCTTGCTCTCAGTCATTTCTGGGAAGTTGGCCCAGATTTGCAAACTATCATGTTCTTGATCGTATTTCGGTTATTCTAGGACCTGCGCCAAACCGCTCCCTGACAGGGGCGGCGCCTTCCGAGCACAGCTGCCGGCAGCGCGTGCTCGTGGAGCCGCGCCGCGGCGGCTCTGCCCACCCTGCGGCCGCCCTCTCTGCGGCTTTTTCGCTGGCGCCCCGTCCTCGCTGGGTGCCCCAGGGCGGAGGTCCAGAATAGGCGTCAGCCAGACAGCGCTTGCCACGTGCCCCTGTGGGCTGGCCCGATGCGCCCGTGCTGAAACGCAGTACGTGCCGTGTTGGCAACGTCGGCGTCAACGCGCTGCGTGTTGGCTTGGCGCGCGTTGGCCCACGTTTTTGCGAAGGCATCGCGCCAGATTTACGTACGTGTTCGGTGTACGTGCCGAGTTCCGTGTCAACCCGTTACGTGTTGCGTGTTGCGTATCGGGGCAGCTGAGGGCAGCGCTTTTGACCTGACCCTTGCAGGCGCAAGGGATGCCGGCCATCCTTCCGTCATGGGCCAAGGTGCCGCAACGATTTTCAGAGCATGCTGGTTTCAGCAACGCGGCGTCCGCGCGATGTGCGAGGGATTCTGGTTTCGAGCCGTCTGGGCTTGAGCACGCCCCTGGCTCAGGTGCGGCGCTCCGACCCCCGCGCGACGGAGACCGCGGCGGCGCGGCGACGGCGGCAGGCCCGTGCCGCTGTCGGTCGGTGCTTGGCTGCCGCCGGCGCCGTCGCCCTGGTCGACGCGGGTCCGCCAGGGCTCTCTGGTGCCGCTGGCGCGGCTGGTGCTGCTGACGCGACGGGTGTGGCCGCTCTCGGCGGCGCGCGTGCTGTTGCGAGCGCTTCCGGCGCTGCTGGCGCCGCCGCCTCGGCCCTCGCAGCTGACGCTCCCTGGGCGGTCCGCGCGGGCAGGGCCGCTCGCCCTCTCGCGCCTGCGGGCGCCCCGGGCGCTGCCGACGCCCCCGGGCAGGTCGGCGCGGCCCGAGTGCGCCGTCCTGTTGGCGCCAGTGGCGCCGTCATCGCGGTCGAAGCTGCCGGTCCTGGCGTCGACGCGATCGACGTCGCTGACGCGGCCGGCGCGCCAGGGCTTCCTGGCGCCGCTGGCGCGGCTGGCGCTGCTGGCGCGACGGGCGCGGCCGCTCTCGGCGGCGCGCCTGCTTCTGCGAGCGCTTCCCGCGCTGCTGGCGCCGCCGCGGCCGTCGCAGCTGGCGCCCTCTGGGCGGTCGGCGCGGGCTGGGCTCCTTGTCCTCTCGTTTCTGTGGGCGCCCCGGGCGCTGCCAACGCCCGCAGGCTTAACGGCGCGGCCCGAGTGCGCCGCCCCGCGGCTGGCGCCGCCAGCGTGGTCGAAGCTGCCGACCCTGCGCCGGGCGTCGGCGCGATCGACGCAGTTGACGCGCCCGGCGCGCCCGCCGCGATCGCCGCCTGCGCCTGCGCCTGCGGGCGCTGCCGCGGCGGTTCGGGCTGCCCTCTGGGCCGCCGTTGGCGGGCTGGCGCAGGCCGCCGAGCTCGCGGCGGCCGCCGCGGCGGGCAGTCGGCCATCGGGCGCCGCCATCCACTCCAGCGCCCCGATCAGCGCGCGCGGAGAAGGAACCCGCCATCATCTACCCCAGCGCCCCGATCAGCGCTTGCGAGAGGGACGGGCAGGGGCAGCGGCAGCCGGCCCTGGCGCTGTGCGCGCAGTCCCCGCCAGCAAGCGCACCAGTTGGGCGTTTCCGTTTTCCCGGTTGCGCCCGACCCGCAGGGCCTTCCAAACCGGGAGGTTCCAGCAATAGCGAAACGCGTGCTTTGACCGGTGGTGGCTAGTCCACCTGCTTGGGCGCCAACGTGGAGCATTCGCTTACCCTGCTGCCTTGGCGACTGCGGGGGTCCTTCCAACCAAGGAGGCCGCCGCTCCCCTGAATTCCACCGGCGAGGTGCTCCGTTCTACCTGGCTCTGCCCGTGGCAGCGGCTGCGCTCTTCCAACCCAGAGGGGCGCCGCCCGCTACCTCGCGCCGCCTCCGCTCCCGCGCATCGTCCAACCAGGGCGGTGCGCGGTCGAGCCCAGGCTGCCCCCCCCGCCCCCCCCCCCGCTCTGCCCAGCCTCAGGCCCACCGCCCTTCGCCAAGCGAGTCGGCGCTGGGCCACCCGCGCCGGCGCTGCTACTGCAGCCCGCGCGGTTGGCAGGGGCCCCACCCCTGCCCGCAGTGCCTGCTGCCCACTTGTGGGTCGCCGCCGTTGCGTTTCGGAGGAGGAGGAGGAGGAGGAGGAGGAGGAGGAGGAGGAGGAGGAGGAGGAGGAGGAGGAGGAGGAGGAGGAGGAATAATCATAGTAATAAGAGTACTAAGAAGACGAATCGTAATACGAATCTGAGTAAGAATACGAGCAATAAAAATAATACGAATAAAAAGAATAACGATATTGACAATAGCAATAACAAGCATACTACGAAAACGAATAATACTCATACTAAGAATATTAATAGTACTACCAATAATGATGATCAGAGAATAGCAACGCCAGGGCATACGAAGAATATCAAGAAGATGAAGAAAAATCAGCCGACTAATACCCATAACAAAAAACACTAATACGAAACAAGGACAATACGAACCATACTACTACTACTACTACTACTACTACTACTACTACTACTACTACTACTATTACTATTACTACTACTACTACTACTAATAATAATATTATTAATAATTGTAATAATATTAGTAATAGTATTCGTAATAGTAATATTAATAGTAATAGTAATAGTAATCGTAATAGTAGTAATAATCATAGTCATAGTAATAGTAGTAATAATACTACAAGTACTACAACAACAACAACTACTTCTACTACTACTACTACTCATAATAGCAATAATAATACTAATATTGATAATAATGACACTACTACTACTAATAATAATAATAATAGTAATGCTAGTAACACTACTAATAATATAGTAATAATAATAACAATAATAATAATGACACTAATAATAACACTAATACTAATACTAATAATACTAATAATAATAACATTACGAATACTACTACAACACTAATAGTAGTAGTAGTAGTAGTAGTAGTAGTAGTAGTAGTAGTAGTAGTAGTAGTAGTAATCGTAGTAGTAGTAGTAGTAGTAGTAGTAGTAGTAGTCGTAGTAGTAGTTAGTAGTAGTCGTAATAATGTATAGTAGTTAATAATATCTAATAATACTAATAATAATACTAATAATAATAATACTAATAGTAATATTATTATTATTAATAATAATAAAAACAATAATAATAATAATAATAATAATAATAATAATAATAATAATAATAATAATACTGATTATAATAATGATGATGCTACTACTACTACTACTAAGAAGAAGAGGAGGAGGCGGAGGAGGAGGAGGAGGATCAGGAGCAGGAGCAGGAGCAGGGAGGGAGGGAGGGAAGGAGGGAAGAGGAGGAGGAGGGGAGGAGGAAAAGGAGGAGCAGGAGGAGGAGGAGAGGGAGAAGGAAGAGGAGTGGGGGGACGGAGAAAGACTCACGAGCGCCGGGTCCGAGGGGAGGGATGGGCAGGAGAGACGACGACGACGGCCACGACCACGGCCACGGCCACGGCCACGGCCACGGCCACGGCGACGCGGGCGGCGTCGTCCATGGCGACGGCGACGTTGGCGGCGTCGGCGGCGACGGCGTCGGCGGCGAAGGCGACGGCGGCGAAGACGAGGACGGCGGTGGCGGCCCCCGACGCAGGTGCTCTCCGGGAGCCGCGCCGAGCGGCTCGCGGGGGCGGCGGCCGGGGGCGGCGCCGGCCTCGGCCGCGGCCGATCTCCCAAGAGCACAGCCGGCCTCCCGGCTTCCCCAGAGTGCGGCGCGAGAAGGCGAGGAGGAGGAGAAGGAGGAGGAGGAGGAGGAGGAGGAGGAGGAGGGAGGAGGAGGAGGAGGAGGAGGAGGAGGAGGAGGAGGAGGAGGAGGAGGAGGAGGAGGTTCCGTAGCCATTTTGGCTCAAGTCCGTAGCGTTTCGCTCAGGGCTTGGCCTGCCTGGCAAGGGGGAAATCGCGGCCCCCGCCACTTCTGACCCTGCGGGTCAGCATACTCCATACTGTAACTCCGCGCCGTGGGCGCTACTCTCAGTCATTACGTCTCTTCTGGGTGCTCGCCTGCGGCCACGGCGCTCATGGGAGGTGAGAAGGAGCGGGTGCGAAGTGACTGGTACTGCAAGGACTGTACGGTCAAGTGGGGCTCTCAGAAAGGCAAGCGCGTGTGCAACCTGGGCATTCATCTTCATTGTAAGCAGTGTCAGATGCACAAGCGCAGCGTCTTCGGTGGGAATAAAGAAGGTGGGAGCCCCAGTAAGCACTCAGTATCTAATGCAGCTCCGACCACGCCCTGGGAGACAAAACGAGTCATTCAGCAGCTGGAGGCAAACATCACTGAGTTGCGAGCTCAGCTACGTGAGCGTCAGCTTCCACTGCAGTCTAGCCCCGTGCAGGTTGAACCCACGGTGGAGGTCGTCGACCAGGATGATGACTCCTTGGACAAGCAGCTTGCACTGTTGGACACAAAGTTGCAGAAGCTCCCAGAGGCGCTGGTCAAAGAAATTCCTGAGTTGGCGGGTACCAGAAAGGAGCTTGTTGCACAGCGGGACAAACTTCAGCTGGAACGACGAGAACGCAAGCCTGTTGGTGTGCAGATCAATGAGGTCAACCGCAAGCTCTACCAGCTGGACCAGAAGATTCAAAAAGCAGAGGCCGCGGCTGAGCAGCGGCAGAAGCAACTCAAGCTGCTGCAGGAAGCAACCGAGGAGGACCAGACGAACTTGGCCTCTCTTCGTCAGCAACAGGCCACACTTGAAGGCCAGCGAGCGCAACTTGCTGCTACTGCTCTTCGGCCGCCAGCTCAGGCGGCAGATGGTGCTACAGTATCGGTACAGCGCGCCCTCTTCAAGTTGGATACATTGGAAGCGGTTCTCAAAAAGCATGGTGTGGAAGGTGAATTGCTTTCTAAGATTGTTCAAGAGGAGGAATTGGCGAAACTTGTTCAACCTGAGGTGGCAGAGTCTGCAGGTAACCTCCTACTTCGGCCAGCGGTTGCGGTGGCAGGGGCGACAGCAGACATGGCTGTGGAACCAGAGGAACCTGCAGCTGCCCTTCCTAGTCTCCGTGAAGCCGACGAGGAGGCCCTTCGCAATATCTTTGTTGAATCAGGGGTTGTCGACTCCGAGGCAGTTGCGAAATTGGATCTCGGCAAACTACGTGCTGCAGCTAACCTCATGCACAAGCAAGTATCACGCTACAGCCCATACGAGTGATTGGGTATGGCCGCATGGTGTTGGTTTCTGGCTATCTGTGTTTGATTTTACCATGACGTGTACTATTCATGATGGACAACAACAGGTGGACATTCTTGGCGATTTCTGGCAGCTGTACGTGGTATCACGTGAAGAGCTGAGCGGAGCAACGTCGAGATTGGCCACACTATTTAAGGCAGCAGAATCTTCTCTGAGCTCGCAGCCAGGCATGGAGGTGACAATATCAGAGGCTGCTTTTGCTGCTCCCACGGCGAAGGAACCCCCGTCTTCAGAGATCCAGGAATTCAGAGAACCCAGGGTCCTGGATTGGCCTGCTCGGCCTAACGGCCACTGCACGGCCTGCTCCCAGGGGGACTTGCCTCGTCGCCAAAAAGGGAAAGGGAACTGGAAAAGAACGCGACGGATCAAGGCTCAGGCAGAACCACCTTCCGCCATGGGTCGTCCACCTCCTGAGTTGTTTGACCACGTTCGCGAACAACGGGAGCAGGCTACATACGATTATGTCACTATGCGTCAGGACCTGCAGTCTTGGGCAGCTATGTGGATGGACGACTTGGCGTTCGGTCCGCGAAGCGACAACAACTGGAGGCGTTGGTGTGAACCCTTTTTGGATGAGATGTTTCGGCGCGGAGGCAATCATGGGCTAAGGGCTGCTCTTTTGCGTTGGTTCCCACGCCGTACTCTTGCTCAGATCATTGAGGAGCTATGTGCCCGAGCTTGGAGGCAGACAGCACCTCGTCGCACGGCCTTCTTGCAGCGGCTGGCAGATATGCCACATGCGGATAGGCATGAGTTCGGGATGCGTCACTGGCGTGAACTTGCTGAGCTTCGGGCTATGATGAGGAGATTATTGCAAACACGGGCGCCTAACTATCATCCTGCTCCCCGTCGCCATCACCAAGATGAAGATCAGGCTGTTGATGATCCGCAGGAGGGCGAACATGGACCAGATCAAGGCAGCCTGCCTGATCCAGTCCTACCGCTGCATCGCGACACCCGTGACGGTCATGAGGGGCGTCGGGTGCAGGGGTGGCTCGCCACGGTCAATGTCGCGGGCGCTGGCTCACTTGTTGATTACTTGTCCCAAGAACCTGATGGCAAAGTTTTCGCGGTGCAAGAGCATCGTGCTTATGGCGATCGGCTGCTATCCATGCAAGGGCAAGCTCGAGACCTCGGATATCATGGATGTTGGTCGCCAGCTTCGGTCACAGAGGCAGGTGGCACGAGAGCGGGGGTTGCGGTGTTGGTCGCGACTGACACTACGGTGACGGAAGCTCCCTTTCGCGCACAGGTGGATTTACCCGGGGATAGGTTCGTGGCGGCACACCTGCACTGGGGAGTACCAAAAGGCATCGTCGTGATGGGCGTGTACTTATACGACGACCAGGGCCTCGACGCTGACAACATGGCCATCATTTCAGGCATTTTGAAGTATGTTGGACTGCTCAACTTCTTGGGTATGGACTGGATTGTACTGGGAGATTGGAACTTACAACCTGAGGTCTGGGCTGACGAATGGCTGGAACAGGTGCATGGGTTTGTTCTTTGCTCAGAGACTTCCACTTGTCATAAGAGTATGTTGGGCACGGTTTTTGACTGCGCGCTAGTGGCCAACAACCTTAACACGCGCATGCAGAAGCCAGAGGTGGTACATGACTCTGCAATAGCTACGCATTCGCCTGTGCGATACTCGTTGTTGGCACATGATATTCCGACATGGCGTAGGGTAGTAGACGAACCGCGGGGGTTCGGATCGGTTCCGCCTATTGGTTGTCCGTGCTACCCTCGGCGTGGTGCTTGGCGTCAGGCACGATTGGCGGTCTTGGATGCACATGACAACGCGTCGCTGCAGGTGGCCTGGGAAAATGCGGCACAGCAGATTGAACATGATTTGGCTGACAGGTGGCAGCTTCGAGGTGCCAACCATCGCAAACATCTTGGACGGGCTGGCGCTGTATCATGGAAGTGGGAAAAGGTGGAGTGGCAGCCGCCACGAAAACGTACCTATGTATCTCAAGAGGTGAACTGTTGGCAGGTAGCAGGGCGGTGGGCATCTCACCTGGTGCGAGTGCGTGCCCATCTTGGAGAGTATTGTCAACGTCTTCAGAGCGCCCACGCTATGTGTCCAGTTTCTTCACAGCAATGCGGGCATGTGGTTAAGATCATCAAGGAAGCTGCGATTTTCTTGAGCAAGGTTGCTGGGGCTAAACGGATTCTTGCTGGGCTTACCGATGGGGTTAGAACGTTCTTCACTTCAGGTATTGCGGTCTTCTTGCATGGCGGCTTCGACGATATGGTCCAGTACATCGGTTTACTAAGGTACAACAGGCGCCTGAGAAATTGAAGCCCATGGTGTATGGAAGTCCTCATGCACTAGCAGACAGGGAGGTGGTCACGTGGCGCGAGGTTTGGCAACATCATGGTTATGAGCTACCCGACAGGCCTGCTGATTTTATTTCGTGGCCCAAACTGCCAGCCATCAGTGTTCCTGACCTGCAAGCGGCTTCTCTTTCTTTTCCTGAGCGCACGGCTGTGGGGCAAACGGGGATCGCGCCGAGAGCGCTATGGCACGTGTCGGATGAGGGCCTGTCGGTGGTCAGCTTGTTGTTTTCGCGCTGTGAAGATCTTGGCTGGTGGCCTGGGGATCGCATTGTTAGTATTCTTGTACGTTTGGCAAAACCTGACGGAGGAAGTCGTCTCATATGCCTGGTCAACACCCTGCTACGGCTATGGGCACGAGTCCGATCCTCGGTGGCCAAGCGTTGGATTAGGAACGCCAAGATTCCCAACATTTGGGGTGCAGGTGGCGCTGGGAGGTCCTCGACAGCATCGGCGGTGGGTCACAATATCAGCTGAAATGGCATTCTACCTGGGAGAGTTCTCTGTGACAGCTCTTCTCGATGCATGGAAAGCTTTCGAGTCGGTTTCACCGTCCGCCCTGTTGGATCAGTCTCGGCTGGAAGGGTTTCCTGTCTTGCTTACGTGGATGACGTTGCAGTGCCATTTACAAACCAGAACGCTCAAATGTCATGGGTCTCTTTCTGTATGGTACAGAGCTGCGCAAGGTATCTTAGCAGGGTGCAGTATGTCCACAACTATGTTGACGGTGCTTACAGCAAAGGCCATTCGGCGACTTGCTAGAGATGATATTATACCACGAGCCTTGGTGGATGACGTTTCGGCGCAGTGGGTTGGCAGCTCGACACAACAGCTCAGTGGCTTCTGGGCGGCGCTGAAAGGTTTTATCTTTGATGTCAAGGAGGTAGGGCTCGTTATTCAGGCCAGCAAGTCAGGTTTCGTTGCCACGTCGGCCGCAGTGATCAAGGCGTCTGAGGCGGCCTCTGATTACTGCCACATCCCGTCGAAGCCGCGCATGCGGAATTTGGGTCATGAGGTGCATGGGCCAGTGGTGAGGCGCACGATTGCCAAGAAACGGCTGGCAAGTCTCAAACAGCGTGCTCATCGGGTACATGCATTTCGACGGACGGTGGGTACCAAGGTTACGCGATTGTGGAGAACTGGGCTACTGCCGTCGGTGGCTCACGGGTCGTCGGTCAGCGGCGTGTCTGACAAGGAGCTGGAGGTCATGAGGAGCATATCCGCCACTATGGCGGGCTACCCCAAGCGTGGAGCAAGCAGTACCCTCTACTTGGCGACTCAGCGTGACCCATGGTATGATCCCATCTTCGACGCAACGACTGGGCCGATGTTCTATTACCATAGATTGGTGTGGGAACAGCTCGTTGGCCTGGGCAGGTTAGAACGAGCCTGGCAAGCAATCAATGCTACTTCTCTCAGTTGGAGTACGGCTTGAGGACCGATTGGTGTAGTCAGGTTGTCCCTGCAAAGGGTAGGATGGCGTATGTTGTCTTCGACAGTGGTGCAAGACGATCAGGGGTGCAGCTGGTCACTATTGCAGGTTGCCCCGCTTCTACTTCGCGATCTACTTCGAGCAGGTATCCAGCGATATCAGATGCAACGTTTCTTGGCACATCGCGAGCAGCGGGAGCCTGGCACGGTCTTGTGGGCGCGCGGGCTGCGTGCTTGCTTGGGCGGACCTTCGGCTACGGTCAAGAACCCAAAGACGGCTGGTGCGCTCAGGGCTTTATGGTCTGGTTCGCTCTGGACCAAAGTACGTCTTGCAGCGCGACAAGGTCTGCGATTCACTGTGTCGGGCCTGCCAAGGCGACGACGAGACGATTGGCCACGTCTGCTTCAAGTGCGATGCGGTGAACAAGTGGCTGCTGGAAGGGGAAGACGATCATCCCATGTCTGATGAGCTCACGTCTTTCCGCGACTCGATCCTGCAGAACGGGACCATCAATCGGCCGATAGTCAGCGACGAGTGCTTTGAGCTTAGTGTGGGGCTCCCGCAGGTACCAGGAGGCTGGCAACATGCCGAACCTGACCCTCCTGTGAGGTACTGGGGATCTTGGGCTGGGTCGCCAGAAGACTGGCCAAGCGTAGTTTTTACAGACGGCTCGGCTATTCCTTCCAGCATTCCTGAATTGAGACGTTGCGGCTGGGCCTGTGTCCAAATGTCTCCTGGTGGATATCCAGCTCGTGCAGTCTACGGAGGCCTTCCAGGGGCACAGCAGACTATTGGAGCAGCGGAGCGGCACTGCGTTCTACAGGCTCTACGACACTTTCCTGGAGTGAAGCTGTTGATCACAGATCTCTCGGCGCTCGTCGCTGAAGGCAATCGTTGGGACGAATATGATGCGCTCGCTGGCGCACGACACGCGGGCATATGGAGGACTATACGCAACTTTGCTCAAGCACGGAAAGCTGTACCTCCTACCTTCGGCTGGTGTCCCTCTCATCTTGACCTGGGTGAGGTGGCGGCTGGAGTCGCTAAGCGTGGGGCTAACTTCGATTGGGTCTTGGGCAACGCCTGGGCTGATCATTTTGCGAAGCTGGGCGCGAAGGACATCGGATACGCAGAAGGGTATTGCGACTTGTTCAAGATGGCGCTGGCTCAAGCTAAGTTGATGTCAAGGTACCTGGGGTTCACGCTGTGCAGGTTGTTCCAGCAGCAGCTCTGGGAGTCTCAAGATCGGCAGGTACGATTTCCATGCTTTCAGCCACGTATCACGGTACTGGAGCATATTTTTTGGAGATCTGAGGTTTACGCAGAATTTCGGTGCAGGCAGTGTGGGGTGCGGGCTGCCACTACGACTCACCTGGACAACTTGGGCTGGGGTCTTCGTAAGTATTGTAGTGCGTCGGAGCATCAAAGACTGCAGTGTGACATCTTTTTCGGCACTCCCAAGGGCCTTACATACCAGCCTGTGCGCAGTGAGGCAGTGCATGAAGCAGTACAACTAGCTGATGCCCTACTTGGTGAGGCCATCTCTGAGCAGGTTGTGGTGGATTCGTCAGAGGCTCCTCAAATGGCGGCGCACACCTTTTTTGCAGGCCAAGGCCACACGTTGCAATGGGATGGTCTGGCGTGCGTTTGTGTTCGTTGTGCTGGTTCTTCTACGGACGTCACAAAGAAGGTACTCAAGCTCAAAGAAGTTTGCCCTGGGGCGTCTAAGGATCCTGCGGTCAGGAAGAACCAGATCAAGTGGATTTCTCGATTTGCCAAAGCGCGCTCCGTCGAGTTCCACGCGTCGGTGCTGGCCCAGATGAGGCTATGACTGTTTTTTGTGGTGGGCGTAGGCGATGTTCTCGTCTGCTTCGACCTGTGGATGGTCGTGCTGTGCTCGCATTTTGAAATCCTGGGGCGCCAGGTTCGTGTCGCCATGGTGGTGGGTCCGCTGCCCAGGGCACCAGCACGTTGGACCTGGTCACGTGTTGGCAACAGCGTGCGGCAGCACCTCTGCTGCCCTGGGCACCAGCACGTTAGACCCGGTCGCGCGTTGGCAACAGCGTGCGGCAGCGGCTCATTGCCTGTTTTGCTGGATTCCTGTGTTGATCTAGTGGTTGGCTTGGGAGTTCAGTTCGTGGATGCGGTGGCTGATCGCATCTACTTTCATGGTACTGGAGGCGTTGTGCTCTTTCTTGTATCAGTACTGGACCTTGCGAATCGCCCGCGTGGCCCTATACAGGGAGCGGGCGCATCGACGAGGGTTTCGTTTCGCGGTACTGGAGGCGTTGTGCTCTATCAGGTATCTGCACTGGACCTTGTGAATTGCCCGCGTGGCCCTATACAGGGAGCGGGCACATCGGCGAGGATTTGGTTACCTTTTTCGCGGTGTACTGAGGTGCCGCGTCGGTCTGAGACCTAGCGGCGTTCGCCTGCAGCTGCAGGCGGCCGCCCAGGGATGAACCATGAACCAGGAGGAGGAGGAGGAGGAGGAGGAGGAGGAGGCGGAGGCGGAGGCGGAGGAGGTGGAGGAGGAGGCGGAGGAGGAGGAGGAGGAGGAGCAGCAGCACGAGGCCGCGCAGCGCAAATGCCCAACGGTCCAGTGTCCTCGTGGGGCGTTTTTGGCCCCTTGGGCGCCTCGTGGGCGCCTCGTGCGCTCGGCGGGTCGGCCAGGTCGCCCAGTGCCCGCCCGAGGGCGCCTCGTGGTCGCCTCGTGCGCGGGGCCGGTGTGCCGAGGCTTCCCCTGGCGCCCGCCCGTGGACGCCTCCTGGGCGCCTCGTGGGCGCCTCGTGCGCTGGTGGGTCGGCCGATGGTTCGCTCGGTGCCCGCCCCGTGGGCGCCCGTGGGTGGCTCGTGCGCTGGGTGGGTGCGCCGAGTTTCGCTCGGATTGCGCCACATCGATTGCACCATACATGTGTTTTGTGCACATGCAAGCGCACCCCATAGCTTTTGCCGCATGGCTTTCACCATACAGCTGGCTCCACCCAGTGCCAACCGCAATACTTTGCCCCACATAGCTTGCACCACGTAGCCTACACCGCACAACCGACTTACACATACACCACGTAGCATACGCCACATAGCTTACACGGCATAGCTTGCACCCCAGATATGTCACTACATAGCTTACACCACTTGACTTACATCGCATAGTTTACACATAGCTTACACCCCACAGCTTGCAGCACAGGTTGCAGCGCATTTCTAGAACCACCCAGACTCCACATAGTTTGCACCGTCTATGTTTCACCGACACGGTATAGCTTGCACCACATATCTTACGCCACACCGTTTGCATGGGTTGCACGATTTGGCTGGCACCTCGTAGTCTGCGCCACATACCTTGCACATTCACAGCGCAAGGACTTCTTGTTAGACATCCACTCTGACAACATGTTATAAACATGATGAGAATGAGGATCACTCTCATGAGGGGGAGGAGGATGTGGAGGAGGAGGATGATGAGGAGGAGGAGGAGGAGATGGGCGGGATTGTGAGATCCCTGCTGCTAGATCGACACTTTTGAAGCATCTACCCAACTTCTCTCTGCGCGCGCAGGCATCTACCCACCATAACGTCGTCGAATGCGTTATCATTTAGTCTGCGAGTCCACCATGGACGACATAGAGAACAATGTAGAGAACTCGTTTCAGAAGTTGCGCGGCAGAGTTGATTATGATAATTGTGTCCCAGCCACGCCGCCCCGGTGGTCCCCGTAGCCAGGAAGGACGACGCTTGAGTTCGAACATGATTTCCCGTTTTGGCCCAAGGAGCGCCACCACTGGGACCGAGCAGAACACCCAGCAAACTGTTTTTTTCATCCCTTGGCGATACTGGGCTTGACCGGGGAGGGGGGTGAGGGGGCCAGCAACGTCACGATTCGCGGCGGCGCCGATCGGGAATGCTCAGGAGTGGAGAATTTCCAGACGGCGCCGGCGGGAATCGTGATGTGACCAGGGGGGGGGCGGTCATGGGCGTTACCGCGAATCATAAGAACAATGGGCTCCAGGATGTGTCCGCGGTACCTCGATTCAGGGTTACACTGGTGGCTTCGGTGCCCAGTGTGGCGTGGATCAGCTTCGTTGTTAGTCTGTGTGTGTATGTGTGCCTCTGAGGCCTTTTGGTTCAACGAAACAGTCCAGAACAGTCCTGGTAGCGCCGCCTGGCGAATTACATAAAGGTGCTAGATCGGAAGAGGGCGAAGTGAGTTGACTGATTTCCCACGCCGAAGACCTCTACGTAGGCACCTTGATGAAAGGAGTTTGGCTTCTGCTTCGGGCTCAGTTTAGGCATTCCTCCGCGGTGCTGTTTCACCAGAGTCGGGGTTTCTTGGGCACGCCAGAGCCATGAGTGGAATTCCCCAGGTCCAAGCTTGCCCTTCAAGAGACCCCCGCTTCTCAACCTGACAAAAGCACTGTCCAACCTGGTGCCTAGAACACTGCTGCAGTCCATCCTGGCCAGTACATCATCTCGAATCGACTGTTTGACGGCCCTGGAGCCCGAAAAAGGCTTCTGGGGGACGAATTCTGCGAATCGCCTTTCCTCGGCGGCGAGCGAGGGGGGAAGTGAGAAGGAGAAGGCCTTCTCAGAAGGTTCGGAAGTCTCCCGACCTTCCGAGAAGTTTCCAAACCATCCCCGAAGACAAACAGAAACTTTCAGAAGGCGCGCGGGCTCCTGAGAAGTCCCGCCGCCTTCTGAGAAGGCCTTCTCCTTCGCGGTCCCCCCCCATCGCTCGCCGCGGCTTTCCGAGCCTCCGCCCAAAGCCCGAGCATGCGTTCTCGCCCGCGCAAGTACACAGGCTGCGAGCACATGTTTCGAAGTCTATGGGCATGTCGATGAAGGGCCTGAGTGCAGAGTTGGCTTGGTCTCTGTCGAGGGTGAGGGGCCCCGTTCACGCCGCCAGCATGTGCGTCTACAGGCATTGTGCAAACTGTTGGATGCCTAGCTTCCCTCGGCCAGACCTCCAGCGGCGACGCGATGACGTCCTTGGGCCACCAGTCTGACCAGGCTGTCTCAGGCTGCAATTAATAACTCTACCCCCCAGGCTGCAAACAACAATTGTTTAAAGAAAGCAAGGGGCCACTCAGTGATGTCCTCCTCTGGTGTGGGGGGAGGGGACTGTCTTGGGGCTGACCTCCTTCCCCGACCTTTTGGGGTGTTACCTTTGGTGTTCTGAAGTTCCCCCTGCTTTCATCGGCGAGACGTTTGAAATGCAATGGAAGAACAGTTGGGTTCAGAATGTTGCTAAGCTCGCTTGCTACACCCACCCCAACCCTAGCAGAGATCTGATTATGGAACATGGGCTGTGGTGGGAGCTGGCGGCTAAAGTGTTAGCTCGCAAACATGCTATTGAGCCCAAAGAGGTGCGCGCTGCCAGGCAAGTTTTTGGAGTGGCGACCCCTGCCGCCACGAAGCTTCGGTCCTGGGGTTATTCCTTGGCTCCCGAGTGCCGCTATAGGCGTGGGGTCCCCGATGCGGTTTTCCCCGGGGCTTGGCAGCGCGCGCGCGGTAAGGCCAAACGTGACGAGGTTTTCTCGGATGCCACTGTTTCGCAGGCGCTCGAGGCTGGAGAGTCCAGCTTGCCGTTCACGAGATGCTGGCTTGCGCGTCTGCCAGCCGACAGTCCTGCTGACGAGTGGGATGTCAAGTTCTACCAAGGGGACCTACAAACGGACCCCTTTACGTTCTCACCAGAAGGTAATTTATCCTCGGACGGCCCCTGCCTGGGGCCGAATCTGGAGCACTTGGCGAGAGCGGGGTGGGGGGTCGGTTGCGTGGGTGCCCAAGGGAACGCCGTCCGAGATATTTGTGGGTACGTGCCCAGAGTGTTTGGACACATCAGCAGAGTAGGATAATGTATAACCATGCTGATGGTTCACCTGTACACGGAGCGCGAAGGTAAGTTAACAATCGGTCCCAAGAGCTGCTTGCCGTGGATTTCGCTGCGCTGCTCCGCGGGCAGATCATCCTGACCAGGCTCTTGCGGCTAAGTGATGCTGCTCATTTTTGGCGCGAGGTAGCTGCGACGCTCGACGTTGGAGAATGGGTTTCCTTCCAAAAGGTGAAGGCCCACCGAGCTGAAGACTCGGCCACGAGCGAGAGAGACAAACTAGACACCATTGGTAAAAAGTATGCAGACTAGCTGGCTATGCAGGGTGCCGAGTCCCATGATGTTGTCCATGCTTTTTCCGATACCGTTGATTCCACGTTCAAACAGTTTCAAGAGCTGTTTTTTGGGGATGGGGAAAATCCTTGCCCTTTGGCCCCCACCAGCTAATTTGTTTGGAGTGCTTGATCCGGAATTTGTCAGACCTCGAGGCCGTAGGACCCAGAAGTCGCCACAGACTCCTTACTGGCACATCGATCATTGGCGCTGCAGTCGCTGTCTTAGAACTGTGCCACCACGCACCAAGACCCCCTGTTTCGGCCAGAATCTCTTTATTCTAGAAGTGCAAGAAGAAACTGGACACTTCGGGCATTCCCTCCATGTTGCCTTCGTGGTGGGGTCCAGTTTCCCCGTCGTTTTTTGCTCCAGGTGCGGCTCGTTTAGGATTCAGGAAGCCATCAAGTTGAGGTCGAGGTGAGTCCCGAGTGGCAATTCGAATGAGAAGCGTGCCCTCCTCAAGGGCAAGCTGCCCAGTACTCAGTGCCGAATTCACCCCCCCCCCAACAGGTCAGCGGGACCACCTTGGGGGACTCATAACTCGTCACGAATCTTCTGGGCCAGTGCCCGTCAATCAACTGTGCTCTGTCTGGTTGACCTTTTCAGTACCTGCAGTACCTGCAGGAGGAGGAGGAGGAGGAGGGGGAGGGGGAGGAGGAGGAGGAGGGGGATGGGGAGGGAGGAGGCGGAGGAGGGGGCGGAAGAGTAGAAGGAGGAGGAGGCGGCAGAGAGGAGGAGGAGGAGGAGGAGGAGGAGGAGGAGGAGGAGGAGGCGGCAGAGGAGGAAGGAGGAGGAGGAGGGAAGGGAGGAGGAGGTGGAGGAGGCGGAAGAGGAGAGGAGGCGGAAGAGGAGGAGGAGGAGGGAGGAGGAGGAGGAGGAGGAGGAGGGAGGACATGCCCGACCTGAGACTGGCCTCCGCCCCCCCCCCCCCCGCCCGGGGCGAAGCGCGCACCGCCGCCTGTGGGCCTCCGGCCCGCGGGCCCCCCCCCCCCGATGCCTCCCGAGGCGCGGCGGCCTCCTCGGGCCTGCGGCGCGTGCTGTGGCGCTGCACCGACCTCGACAGGGCGCGCCGGAGGGAGCAGCTGCAGCCCCTGGAGGACCTCCGCGCCCCAGAGTTGAGTCGTCTCTGTCGTCGTCGTCGTCGTCGTCGTCGTCGGCGTTTCTTCGACGCTCTCGGGCTTCCAGGGCCTGTCCACGGCCACATGGGACCATCGACGACGCGATGCCGGAGGGCAGAAGCTTCGGGTGTGGCTCCCCTCGCCAGGCCCAAGGGGGCCCGGGGTCGCAGGCCTAGAGGTTGACACCAACGCCAAGATCGGCGGTGTGCCTCCACCGAGGGAAGACGATCCCGATCTCGGTGATGGTGGTGATATTCTGGCTTCCAGGGTGGCCAAGCTATCACCACCAGCACCGAAATCTAGCCTCATCCTCCCCCTGCGGAGGCAACCCCCTGTGTTGGTGTTGGTGCCAATTTCTAGGCCGCCAATTGAGGTGTTGAGACCGCCCTGGGCTACCCGGGGGGCGTGGTGAGGCCAGTCGAGGCTACACGCCGGTCGCTGGAAGTTGGCATTTTCTGGAAATCCAGGGCCCGATCTGCTGTAGGCGCCTTCCTGCTTCCAGAGTTGAGTCGCAGGCCCAGAGGTTGACACCAACACCAAGATCGGCGGTGTGCCTCCACCGAGGGAAGACGATCCCGATCTCGGTGATGGTGGTAATATTCTAGCTTCCAAGGTGGCCAAGCTATCACCACCAACACCGAAATCTAGCCTCATCCTCCCCCTGCGGAGGCAACCCCCTGTGTTGGTGTTGGTGCCAATTTCTAGGCCGCCAATTGAGGTGTTGAGACCGCCCTGGGCTACCCGGGGGGCGTGGTGAGGCCAGTCGAGGCTACACGCCGGTCGCTGGAAGTTGGCATTTTCTGGAAATCCAGGGCCCGATCTGCTGTAGGCGCCTTCCGGCTTCCAAAGTCCAGCGGTTTTTCCTCCGCCTTCCTCGTCAGGGGGCGGGCGGAAGCCCAATCTACTTCCAACGCCTTCCTACTTCATGTTTCTACCTGCTTTTTCCGACCGACGGGTACCTGGGGGAGCTGTCTGTGCGAAACCCGAAGCATTACCAAGCAGGGTGGTGCTCGGATGCATCTCCTGGGAGGTCAAATTCCGATTGTGCCCTGGTCCGAAATCCGGCTTAATCCGGCTTGATCCCGACTCATCCCGCCTAATCCGGCTTGATCCGGCTCAATCTATCTTGATCCCGCTAAATCCGCGGCCTAACCCGGCGTAGCAGCCCCCCCAATGGGGCTCAATTCTCCTAAGGTCTCCCAGCGGTTGCCTCCTGAGGTGGTGGGCTGGCGCACGGACGGGGGCGTCTTCGGCCGGCTTGACAGCCAGACGGCCCCCGGCTGCCCTGTTCGGGCGCAGGCCGTTCGGAGGCGCTCCGGCGGCAGCTGGCGCCCGTCCAGAGCAGCCTGGCGCCTGGGTGGAAGGAGCAGGAAGGGGCGGAGGAGGCCCCAGGCTCGCAGGTGATGTTTCTCCCCCAATCCCGGCGTCGCCCCAACATACTACAGTAGGAGGACACGGCCGACTCAAATGTACAGTGGAAACCCATGCCAAGAAACACCCTGCTTGCCTCCAGGGTGCGTTGGGCTTCTTGGGTTTTGATGGTTTTGCTATGGAAAGCGTGACGTTCCCTCACCAAAAATGAACGTCCTGGGGTCCTTGGGTTTGGTTTCTTATAGAAGGCTTCTTGTGGACGGGCCTCCACTTTACTACTATAAGTGCGTCGCCCCGCCAGGGGCGACGCGCGCACCGAAAAATCTTATGGTATGTGCGTCGTGGCGGGCGCTTTCTGACCGCACCGCTCGGGAAGCGATTTGCAACAAGATGGGTCTCTGACATGTTCGGGTCGGACGCGCGCCTCCCCAGGTTCTGCCCGAAAAGTTTTTGCCACTCAGAATCAGGGGGAAACCTTGGGATACACCCCAAGGGGGCTATTCGGACAAACCCTAATCATCGAGGTTGGGTGCCCCCCCCATCGTACATCCCAGGGTTGGGCATCACATTTTAGGTTCAATCGAAAACCTCCAACGCCTGGGATAGGAGTCGAGATATCCCCTGCTACCATCGGGGGTGGACAGAACCCCCACCCTGACACGTCGATTAGTGAATTGTCCGTTTTGGGTTCTCGAGAGGGCGCCGCGGCCGTCATTTTCCAGGCCTGCGCCCGCAAGGTTTGGTCCCGAGGTCGCTTTCACCAGACCACGTTTTACTCAAGTGGGGGTTCTGTCCACCCCCTGTTGACATGCACTGCATTCAGGAGGGGAAACAACACAGACACAATTAATTGTCGATCCCCAGAAAATGCGGGAAAATATGGGAAGTGGGGGGGGAAGACAAACACCCAGAATCTCTCTCTCTCTCTATATGTGTGTGTGTGTGAAAATGTGGGGAATCCTGTTATCTGTGTGTATTTGTGTGTGTGTGTGTGTGTGTGTGTGTGTGTGTGTGTGTGTGTCCCAGGGCCCCTTCCCTGTTGCCCTGCGCTGCATGCCTCTGCTCGGTCTGCTCGGTGGCGGCCCCCATCCCAGCTATGGCCGCGCCGCCCGGAGCAAAACTCACGACCGGGGGCGGTTTTTGGGGGGCCGTGGGGTCGGCCTCTGGGGGGGGCCCTCGCCCCGCGCACGCCCTGGGAGAACGCGCCAGAGAACGACGACACTCGGCACGAGAGGCCCGCCCTGGAGAGTTGTCCTCCTCCTCCTCCTCCTCCTCCTCCTCCTCCTCCTCCTCCCCGTCCTCTTCCCCATCCTCCTCCTCCTCCTCCTCTTTCCTCCTCCTCCTCCTCTCCCATCCTCTCCTCCTCGTCCCCTCCTCCTCCTCCTCCTCCTCCTCCTCCTCCTCCTCCTCCTCCTCCTCGTCCTCCTCCTCCTCCTCCTCCTCCTCCTCCTCCTCCCCCTCCTCGTCCCTCCTCCTCCTCCCCTCCTCCTCCTCCTCTCCTCCTCCTCCTCCTCCTCCTCCTCCTCCTCCTCCTCCTCCTCCTCCTCCTCCTCCCCCTCCTCGTCGTCGTCCTCCTCCTCCTCCTCCTCGGGTCGCCTACGGCCCACGGGGAAACCGTGTACTCAAGAGACGGGGGTCAATGCAGACGGGGGTCGGCCAGAGCGCCCGATCGTGCAGGATCCTGCATGGCCAGGGTCGCACTGACCCGGGTCTGGGGGCAGGATCCTGCAGGATCCTGCACGATGCTGCTCGCTGACCCGGGTTTGGGTGCAGGACCTTGCAGGATCCTGCAGGATCCTCTGAGGCCTGACTGACCCTGGTCTGGATTGACCCGGGTCAGACGATCCCCGATCGGTTCAGGGGCAATAGTAGGGGGGAATAGGCAGGCATAGGGGGTGGATGCATCGACCCCCAATCGCCCACTGGTCGCCGAGGGGGGCCCGGTAGCTCCAACTTGCCCAGGAAGGTGCGGATTTACGACCAGAGGGCTATCGCCGATCTCTATCGGCGACGTATCGCCGATTCCAGGTCGATGCATATCCCCCCCCTATGCCAGTCCCCCCCTATCGCTGCCCCTCAGCTCGGGGGCCTGTGTCTCGAAAAGATCGAGACGCTGGGTGTCTGGGTGCATCTGCTCGGTTGCACCTCCTATAGGCGAGCCGCTGACTGAGAAGCCTCCTCCCGACAAGCTGGGCCAGAGTTTCTTAACCAACTTGCCCGAAAGTTGGCCCAGCTTCTGGAGCCCCTCCAGGCTTGTTTTAGGCTTGTTTTAAGAAACTTTCAGGAAGCTGGCCCAGATTTCTTAAATGATGAACTGTTTGATCACATTTTTGGCTGTACATGAGATAATAATTCAGCATCAGTGCTGGTGCATCCGTGGTCGACACCCATCGTGCTCTGGCCGGATCCCGCTGAATCGGTATTCAATTCTGTTTCATCCGGCATAGTCCTGGGCTGAATCTGGCGTAGTTGCCCCCTGCATCGGGCAGTATTCGGGAAACGTGAGACTCCAGTAAGCCGGAACTCGGGTTTGCCGACGTTTTTTAACGAGCGCGTCCTGGATTTTGACGGTCCGATTTTCGTGTGATGCTTGCAGAGTCAGCTCGCGTCAAATTTCAGATGGGTCCTCGTCATTTTCATGATGCCGTCAGGCCAACCCGAGTCCCCCGTGCACGAGTCTTACGTCTCCTCGAAGAATAGCCGCTGGTCCCCTGACGACCTCCCAGGAGTTGCCTCCTGAGCGAGGAGCGGAGAGACCCGTACATATCTCAGAGCGTGAATGACCTACCCCGCTTTCGCTTCCAGGCAAAACCAAGTCATACCATACGCCTCCTCGTCAAGCGGCCTGACTAGTACATGCCGTAGTTTGGCATCGCTTGGTATCTCTTGGAAGCGAGGGTGGTCAAAATCGAGGTAGGTTTGTTTGCCCCCTAACATCCGTGCCCCGGAGCTCTAGACCCTTGCCCCGAGGGGCAGCTTCTCGCCCCATATCAGTGCTCAATGGCCCCTGCAGGCCCGATGATAGGCCGGGGGGGGAAGCAGTCCCATTGTCGGGGGCCTGGGTTGGTGATCCTTTTTCTATTCGTTGTTTTGCCGACCGGCGTGTGCCCTCGCATCCCCCCCCCTCCCCCCCCTCATGGAGTGGATCTTGGCTGTTGTCGGGCGCCTGCGTCGAGCAGATGGAGTCTCCCCACAGGGCGCACTGCTGCGAACAGTCGCACCAAGCAGAGGTCCGGAGCTGGGACCCCCCCTTCCGCCCCATGTCGAAACGCCGAATACAGTCGGGGCCCTGAAGAAACAACCCTTTTCGTTGGGGAGGGGCTCCGTGTTCCTTAATTGTTTCACAGCTTGCCCTGGATTTTCCTTAGGTTTTCGATACGAAATCGAAGCTCAACTTATGGAAAATAGGGGCCTCGTTCCTTATTTAGGGTTCCTTAGGTCAACGCCCCGACTGTAAGAAAACGCTCACGCCGGCGAGCGAGAGCAACTGCGGCGCAGGAGATGGTCCTGCCGCTCCTGTCCGCCCGGCTGCCGCCCGGGGCCACGGCGCTCGGGGTGGGCGCCTCCATGGACGGCGCGCACCTGCGGCTCTTCGTGCGGCTCGCCGCGGCGGACCCGCAGGACCGCCCCGCCGCCGCCGCCGCCGGCCGCCGCGGCAGCCGCCGGCCGCCGCCGCAGCTCTGCCGCCGGCCCTCGGCGGCTCGTCGGCGGCGGCTGCTCGCGGGGCCCGCCCCTTGGCGGGCCCGCAGGCTCGCTCCCGCCGCCGCTGCGGCCTCGCCGCCGCCGCCGCCCTGCGCCGTCTGGGCGCTCGTCGGGGCCGCCCCCCGTGGGCGCCGGCGTCGGCGCCCCGCGGCCTCGTCGCCGTCGCGGGGGGGCCGCGCGCCGCGGCACGGAGCGGTGGGGGAGGCGGGCGCCGGCCTTCGCCCCTGTCCGCCTGCCCTCGGAGGCCGGCCCGGGGAGCAGCGCTGGGCCACGAGGGGGGGGGAAGAGGAGGGGCAGGGAAGAGAGGAGGGAAGAGGAGGGGAGGGAGGAGGGAGGGAGGGAGGGAGGGCGAGGAGAAGGGAGGAGGGAGCCCCTCAGCCGTGCGATCCCGCCGCGGATCTGCCTCGCCAACTGTTTGTTGCTTGTGTCACTTGGCTCGTGATGTCAACGGCACGCGCGCGAGCCAACAGGAACGGCATCGAAGCATGCATATGCTGCCGCGCACAGTCAGGAGGGAACAAGACGCAGGCACACTTTTGCGTCGGCGGCTGGGCAGAGGTTACTGCTCCGGCGATCTGGCATCAGTGGGGCGCGCTAGATGCGAATTGGGCCGCGGTGCACGGGGGAAGAGGTATGAAGCCCGGCGCAGGCGGGAAGAGAGGAAGCCGGGCCCGCTCAGGCAAGTCCCAGCGGCGGCGGGGCGGGCGCCGGGGGGGGAGCCAGCCGCGACGCCAGGCAGCATCTGGGGGGAAGGCAGCCCAAAGGCGGCCGGGCAGAGCCCATTGGGGGGGAAAAAACAAGACCAAAGAAAGGGCAAGAACGGAGACGTCCAGACCTGCCAGTGCCAGATCAGCCCGCGAAGGCAATACCAGAGGGGGGCTGACCATGAATAGCAGTCAACGGCTGCGTGGAGAAATTGACATGTCACGTGTCTGAAAGCTGAGAGGACCACACCAAAATGGGGGTGCAGAGCGGCGCTGGCAGAGGTCCAGCGACTGGGGCAGGTGAACGCCGAGATCTGATGACCTGCGAGGCGCAGTGGGAGGGGGGGGCGGGCATAGGGACGCAGTCACACACACAAACACAAGCACAAACACAAGCACAAACACAAAATACCCCCCCACACACACAACACAAACAAACAAGCACAAACACAACCAAACACCAACAACACAAGCACAACCACAAACATAAACACACAGACACACACTCACACGCACACGCACACACGCACGCACGCACGCACGCACGCGAAACGCAAGCAACACACACATAACAACACACAACAACACACACAACACACAACACACAACACCCAACGCACAACACACACAACGCATAACACACAACACACAGCACGCAACACACAACACACACCACACACAACACACAACACACAACACACAACACACAACACACAACACACAACACACAACACACAACACACAATACACAACACACACAACACACAATCCACAACACACAACACACAGCACACAACACACAACACACACAACACACACAACACACAACACACAACACACAACACACAACACACACAACTCACGCAACACACAGCACACACAGCACACAATTCACACAGCACACAACACACAACACACACTACACACAACACACATCATACAACACGCAACACACCACACACACCACACAACACACAACACACAACACACAACACACAACACGCACAGCACAACACAACACACACACACAACACAACACACACAACACACACAACACACAACACACAACACATACAACACACAACACACAACACACAACACATACAACACACAACACACACAGCGCACCACACACAACACACAACACACAACACACAACACACACAACACACAACACACACCACACAGCACACACACCACACAAAACACACCACACACACCACACACAACACACACCACACACAACACACACGACACACACAACACACAACACACAACACACACAACACACATCACACACACAGCACACAACACACTACAGACAGCACACAGAACACAACATACACATCACTCACAAGACACATACCACACAGCACTCACAACACACACGCACCACACACAACACACAACACACACCACACACAGCACACAACACACAACACACAACACACACACACCACACAACACACAACACACAACACACAACACAAACCACGCAACACACAACACACCACACACAACACACAGCACACACAACACACACCACACGCAACACACGCAACACACAACGCACACTGCATACAACTCACACCACACAACACACACAACACACAACACACACAACACACAACACACAACCCACAACACACAACACACACAACACACAACACACACAACACACACAACACACAACACACAACACACACAACACACAACTCACATAACACACACAACACACGACACACACAACACACAGCACACACAACACACACAGCACACACAACCAACACACGCAACACGCACACCACACATAACACACACCACACACCACACACATCACACACAACACACACCACACACAACACACACACACACCACATACAACACACAGCACACACAACACGCAACACACAACACAACACACACAACACACAACACACAACACACAACACAAACACACAACACACACAACACAAACAGCACACAACACACAACACACAACACACAGAACACACACACCACCCACAACACACAACACACACAACACACACAACACAACACACACAACACACAACGCACACACCACACACAACCTACACACCGCACTCAACACACACACAACACACAACACACACCACACACAACACACAACACACACCACACACAACACATCCAACACACACAACACACACAACACACAACACACACCACACAACACACACAACACACAACACACACATCACACACCAGCACACACACAACACACACAACACACAACACACACCACAAAACACATAACACACACCACACAACACAAACAACACACACAACACACACAACACACACCACGCACAACACACACAACACACACAACACACTACACACAACGTACGCAATACACAATACACACAATACACACAACTCACAACGCACAATCCGCAACACACACAACACACAACACACACAACACACAACGCACACACCACACACAACTCTCACAACACACGCACAACACACAACACACACAACACAACACACACCCAGAACACACAACACACAACACACAGCACACACAGCACACAACACACACCACACAACACACACACCACACACAACACACACAACACACAACACACACACACCACACAACACACAACACACACAACACACAACACACACCACACAATACACACAGCACACAACTCACACACACCATACACAACACACACAACACGCGCAACACATACCACACACAACACACACAGCCCACAACACACACACAACACCCACAACACACAACACACAGCACAAACAGCACACAACACACAACACATCACACACTCAACACACAGAACACACAACACACAACACACACAACACACACAACACACAGAACACACGCACCACACAACACACAACACCCACAACACCCACAACACACACAACACACACAACACACACAACACACAACACACACGACACACAACACACAACACACACAACACACACAACACGCACCACACAACAGCACATAATATCACACAGCACACAGCACACAACACAACACACACAACACACACAACACACATAACACACAACACACATAACACACAACCCACCACACACAACACACAGAACATAAACAACGCATGCAACACACAACACACACACCATACGCAACACACAATTCACACACATCAAACACAACACACAACTTACATAACACACGCAACACACAGCACACACAACCTACAACACAACACACGCAACACACACGACACACACAACACAAACAACACAGTCAGCACACACGACACACACAACCCACACAACGCACAACACACAGCACACAACACACACCACACACAACACACAACACACATAACACACAACACACACAAAACACACAACACACAACACACACAACACACAACACACACCACACACAACCCACAACACACAACACACACAACACACACCGCAAGCAACACACACCACACAGCACACAACACACAACACAACACGCACACATAGCACACACAAGACACACACACAACACACAATTCACACAACACACGCAACACACACGCACCACACACAACACACAACACACACAGCACACAACACACATCACACACAACACACACAACACACACCACACACACACCACACACAACACACAACACACAACACACGCAACACACACCACACACAACACACAACACACACACAACACACAGCACACACAACGCACAACACACAACACACAACAAACACACACAACACACACAACACACACACCACACACACAACACACACACAACACACACACCACACACAACACAACACACACAACACACGACACACACAACATACACAACACACACAACACACAACACACAGCACACACAGTACACACAACACACACAACACACACACACCTAGATGCCCTGGTACATAGCAGAAACGGAGGGGAAAACGGAAATCCCCAGGCGTCGCGCAATGGGGGGCGATAGTGGGGGGGGGCAGCGAGGGCTGCAGACTTGGAGGGCGGCCCTTCAGGGCCCCAAAGGAGGGACCTTTAGGGCCCGAGAAGTGAAGCTGTCGCCCCCCCGATGCATCGCCCCCCCCTTCTCGCCCCCCCCTTTTGCATAGTTTGCATCGCCCTCCCCTATGCATCGCCCCCATGCAGCGCCCCCTCCCATGCATACATCGCC